CACCCTCCCCCAGAGAAGCGTTTATAATTCCCTGAAGCCAGGCTCGTGTACCCTCCCGAGCCGCCAGTACCAGCCAGGAGGGACACGGATCCAGCAAACGTGGTTGCATTCAGTCTCCCCAGGACCCTGTCCACGTCATCGGGAGTCACAGAGTCAAACTCCTCCCAAATAACAGTCTCAAGACCTGCTCCTGTCACCTTGATGGGCTCTGGGGAGGGGTTTCGGCAGGCTCTTCCAGTGGACCATGCCTTGGCACTTGCCCCGGTCCCACCCCCTTCTGCCAGAGACCCCCAGATCTGTCCCACTCCTGCCCAGGCCCCCACAGGCCCCCTTGACGCGAATGATGTAGAGCTGGCCATGCCCACCCAATAGGCCACACCCACTTGGTCCATATCCACCCAGTAGGCCGCACCCACCCTGGCCACCCGCCCCCGCCCCCCCAAGGGCAACTGCAATGCTGATGCGGCCCTCAATAAAATTGAGTTTGACACCTGTTTTAGAGAGTCGTTGAGGCCACTTGGAGGCTTGTCTTTGTCCTCAGGGTCACCTGAGGGATGCAAATGGGTGTGGAGCCTTCTTGGAACGGCTGAAACATCCTGCAGAAAGCACAACTCCACAGCACAGGCCTTTCAGCGGTTCCAAAGAGGCTCCACACCCATTTGCACCACTCAGGTGAGCCTGAAGACACAGATAAACCTCCAAGTGGCCTCAACGACTCTCTAAAAGGATGCAAATGACCAGCTGTCTACAAGGAGTATAAATCCTTCCATTTCCCACTATCCAGTCAGAGCCGAAGAAGCTTCTGGGATGAGAAGCGAAACGTCTTCAAGGACAAACCAAGAACGTCTGGTTGCCTCTTGAAAAAAACCCCTTTGGGACAAGAAGGGAGATAGTTTTCACAAACAAGCCTTAAATAGGGATTTTTGCGGGCAGGGGATGCTCTTGTGTGACTCTACACGATTCGAGAAAGCAGAGCTTATTTTGAAAACCATCTGAAACGTGTCTCTTGACTTCCTCTTCAGTAGTGGTTTGTTACTCCTACACAACTACCACCTCTACGCCGACGTCCACCCCGGTACCAAGCGGTAGCATTGCGACGGTTAAGTCCCCCAGACCTGCCAGCCCAGCTTCCAACGTGGTCGTTCTCCCAAGTGGAAGTGCTGTTTACGTTAAAAGTAAGTGTGTTTTCAGTCAAAATGGAAGATCTGGAGTTGAAGGAGCTTAGAACCTGTTGAAGATGACCTCAAAGCAGGCTGCTTCAATGCCAGCGCAGCAGTTGAAGTTTGGAATGGCAAATTCAAGCAGCTCTTTTGGAAGTTAGACTACTTCTAATACTCTTGGAAAAGGTCGTTTTCAAGGTGGCTGGTTAGAACGTTTCGATCGGACAGGTAGATAGTCCTCGTTAGGGCGACCACAATTGGGATTGGCAACTTGGTCGCTAGGTGGAACATCACATGAACCGGAGCGAGCTTATAATTTTATTTCAGCTCCCCCCACCCTTTGGAATGTGCATTCCAGTGCTGGGATAATGAGCAAGAATGGAATTGGTGTTTACATTCCTTGGAGAGAAAGGGATTATAAGAGATCATTTTGTCACTGAGAGGTGCCTTATATTGTGTTATGCGGTACGCCTATGTCACAGATTGCAACTGGGAAGTTGTGACCATTTTTTTTTTTTGAAGCAAGTGTACATACAAATTTTGGAAGTTGTTGGGCTCACTTGAGTCCAGATTTTTACAGGTAGTCCTTGCTTTATGACCACAACTGAGCCCAACATTTCTGTTGCTAAGTGAGTCAGCGGTCGAGTCAATTTTGCCCCATTTCACGACCTTTCTTGCCACAGTTGTTAAGTGAATCGCTGCAGTTGATAAGTTCGTAACCTGATTGTTAAGTGAATCTGGCTTCCCCATTAACTTGGCTCGTCGGAAGCTGGCTAGGATGGTTAGAGATGGTGATCACATGACCCTGGGACACTGCGACCATCATAAATAAATACATGCCGGTTGCCGAGTGTCCGAATCTTGATCAGGTGACCATGGGGATGCTGCAACAGTCCTAAGTGTGAAACCATAAGATTTCCGTTGCTGTTGTAAGTTTGAATGGTCACTACATGAACGGTTGTAAGTCAAGGACTACCTGTACTTAATTATAATAATAATAATGATAAAGTTGGAAGGGACCTTGGAGGTCATCTAGTCCAACCCCCTGCTCAGGCAGGAAACCCTATACCACTCCGGACAAATGGCTGTCCAGTCTCTTCTTAAAAACTTCCAGTGTTGGAGCATTCACCGCTTCTGGAGGCAGGTTGTTCCACTGGTTAATTGTTCTCACTGTCAGGAAGTTTCTCCTTAATTCCAGGTTCCTTCTCTCCTTGGTTAGTTTCCATCCGTTGCTTCTTGTCCTGCCTTCAGGTGCTTTGGAGAATAGCTTGACTCCCTCTTCTTTGGGGCAGCCCCTGAGATATTGGAAGACTGCTATCATGTCCCCTCTCGTCCTTCTCTTCTTTAAACTAGACATACCCAATTTCAGCAGCCGTTCCTTATATGCTTTAGCCTCCAGTCCCCTAATCATCTTTGTTGCTCTTCTCTGTATTCTTTCTAGAGTCTCAACATCTTTTTTACATCGTGGTGACCAAAACTGGATGCAGTATTTCAAGTGTGGCCTTACTAAGGCATTGTAAAGTGGTATTAATACTTCACGTGATCTTGATTCTATCCCTCTGTTAATGCAGCCTAGCACTGTGTTGGCTTTTTTGGCAGCTGCAGCACACGGCTGGCTCATATTTAAGTGATTGTCCACTAGGACTCCGAGATCCCTCTCACAGTTACTACTATTGAGCAAGGTACCCCCTATACTGTACCTGTACATTTGGTTTTTCCTGCCTAAATGTAGAACCTTACTTTTTCCCCCATTGAATTTCATTTTGTTAGATAGCGCCCAGTGTTCAAGTCTGTCCAGATCCTCCTGTATCCTAAGCCTGTCTTCTGTTTTGCCATCCGTCGTTGGAGGTGTTGGTCCGCGAAACTTCCCAGGGGCTAAAAGGCACATGTCGCGAACAGTTGTAAATCTCTCTCTCTCTCGCTCCATCTGTAAAATGCTTTATCAAATGATTTTCTTTGGATCCTTCCGGATCAACGGAATAAGGACCCAGAGTCTCTGCTCTTCGTTGCAGGCGTGAGTTGTTCGGACGAGGATGAGAAACCCCGCAAGAGGCGCCGTACAAATTCTTCAAGCTCCTCCCCTGTGCTCCTGAAAGAAGTCCCCAAGGCCGTCCCCCCGGTCACCAAGACCATCACGGTGCCCGTCGGAGGCAGCCCTAAGATGAGCAGCATCATGCAGAGCATTGCCAACTCCTTGCCACCCCACATGTCTCCCGTGAAGATCACCTTCACCAAGCCTTCCTCCACGCAGACCACCAACACCACCACTCAGAAGGTCCGAGCTGGGATCCGGGCGGTTTCGGAGAAAGCTTCTACTACTATTATCTTATCTGGGTCAGGACAGTGATGGCGAATCTATGGCACGCGTGCCAGAGGCGGCGCTCAGAGCCCTCTCTGTGGGCACGCCTGCCGCCGCCGCCAGCTCGCTCAGGTCCATTAGGCCAGGGCTTTTCAACCTTTTCACCCATTGTACCACTTTTAGGAGATGGCAACATCCGAGTACCACCAGGCGCCTAGCAAGGGGTCAAAAACGTGATGACAAAAAAAGAAAAAGGAAAAAAGGGATAAAGTACAGGGAGTCCTCGACTTACAACAGTTCACTTAGTAGAACTGTTGTAAGTCAGAAGTTACAATGGCACTGAAAAAAGTGCCCCCCAAGCCACAGCCGAGCAAGACACCTGCCTGCCCACCCGGCGGCGCTCTTCCTCCTGTCCGAGGTTTCCATTGTTGTGAGCATTTCTGTTGAGGATTGGTAGCAGGGGTGGGGTGGGGTGGGTGTTTGGTTTTTATTCCCCCCCGTCTGCTGGGTGGTTGCAGCAGGTTTTGGTCACTTCACATGACCCTGGGACACTGTGACCGTCATAAATATGAATCAGTTGCCAAGCATCTGAATGTAAATCACAAGACCCTGGAGAGGCTGCAACATTCCAGCTGATCGGCGCTTCTTCTGGGCTCAGCAGAAGCACCAGGATCAGCGCAGAGCTCCAGCTGGATCCTGGTGCTGATCCTGGCGCTTCCGCTGAGCCCTGACAGCCCTGCAGCTCCAGCCGTCTCTCGCTCAGGCTTGTGCGGTGCTGCCACCGGTTCAGCTCATTCCCCTCCCCCACTACCACTTTTCTAGGATGGTCGTGTACCACCTGCCAGGTGCCAATGTACCAGAGGTGGTACCCGTACCACTGGTTGAAAAGCCCTGCATTAGGCCACGGCTGGTGCCCGGAGTAGCAGCCCCATCCAGCACAAAGGCGAAGCAGCTGGCTAGCAAGCTCGAGTAGAGGAGATAGAGCACGCCCCCATGCGCTCGCTGGCCTGTGTGTGGTGCCTGATGGTGTCAGGCAGCAGCCACCCCTGCCTTACCTTGCCCCGCAGCAGTGGCACCCCCGCCCTACCCCCTGCCTCACCCCACAGGATGAGCCTCCTGCCCACCACCCCACCCACCAGAGACCCCCTGGATCTCCCCCAATCCTACCCAGCCCCCACAGGCATCCCCCCGACGAGCAACATCAAGGTGGCCATGCCCACCCCTGCCACGCCCACTCAGTCTGCCGTGACCACCGCAGGCACACCCACCCAGTGGGCCACCACCACCTCCCGAGGGCACCACAATGCTGATGCGGCCCTGGCACTTTCTGATAAATAAGTAGGTTTTGGGTTGCGGTTTGGGCACTCGGTCTCTAAAAGGTTCGCCATCACTGGGTCAGGGTCTTCTGCGGGAGGAGGGGGCTGAGCCACTCCAACTACAGGTAGTCCTTGATGTCAACGCTGCTAACACTGGATGTTCTTGCTTTGACAACATGTGGAGATGCAGCCTTATTCTTCCTTATGCTTTACTCTTAGAATTAGATGATGCTGGGGGGGGGGGGGAGAGGAGGATTGTGATGGGAGTTAGTTAGACATAACAATTCAGAGGCTTTTGAAATAAGAGATGATAAAGGAATGGCGGGCTGGAGAACGGGAGGGAAAGCCTGCATTTCAAACTAATTGGAGAATGTGGTTTATGACTGTATATTAGGGGAGTGGATTGTGCTTTGATACTATGTGCTCAGGGGAGGGGAATTCAGATTTCGGCTTCCACCGAAGCTATGCTACTCTGAGTAAAGATTCTTTAAGGTAAACAATGCCTTGAAGTACTTGGAAGAGTTTCATCTGTCGGAACCATGGCACTTGAATTACGACCACAATTGAGCCCAAAATCTACGCTACTAAGAGGGACACTTATTAAGTGAGCTTTGCCCCCCTTTTAGGACGCTTCTTGCCACGGTTGTTAAGGGAACGACTGCAGTCGTTAAGCGAGTTAACAGGGTTGTTCAATGAATCTAGCTCCCCCAGAATGGTCCCGCGACATTACAACTGTCATAAATACGAGTCGGTTGCCAAGCTTTATAGAGCCCTGATGGCGGAG